CCTCTGGGGTCGGGGCTGGGCAGGCGACGGTGGTTCGCGGCCTCCCGGGGAATGAGATTTGTGAGCCTAGTCCTGCCAGGTGGCGAAGCCGCCCTGCCCTCATTCAGATCCTGTCCTAATAGCGTCCCCCACTCTGCCCGCCCCTGCCCTGCGCCCGCCGCAATGGGGCGGGCAGTCAGTGCACCTTCCAGCTCCGGCCCCTGGGAGCTTTGGTGCTTCGCGAGTCACCGTTGGTGGCAGTGAGAACTAGCCTCTCTAAAGCTTCTGCTTCCCTCCCTGCTTTGGCATGCAAAGCACACCTTTTTCTGTGTTTTTGTTTTGTTTTGTTTTTGCAGTTTGGGGAAGATGATTACAGCTAAACCAGGGAAAACACCGATTCAGGTATTGCACGAATACGGCATGAAGACCAAGAACATCCCGGTTTATGAATGTGAAAGATCCGATATGCAAATACACGTGCCCACTTTCACCTTCAGAGTAACCGTTGGTGACATAACCTGCACAGGTCTGTATGCACAGTTAACCCCCGACGACCCTGCGGGTTGACAGTCAAGACTTGATACTGTTTATCAGTTGGGCAAGTGCCCTTTTTACTGGAGATAGCTGTGAGGGGCAGGCTCTTGAAATGAGACCTCTCATCTCAGGCCATTGGGATTTTCCAACTTCATCTGATTCTCTCCCTAATTTTCTCTTCCCCAGATACCAAGAGAAGCTCAGAAACATCCTAGGATCCTCCTAGGGTTCTTCCAAGAATTAGGGAGAAGCAGGAAAGGTTCTTGGAGCAGCCATAGCTGGATCAGTAGGTGCTATCAAGTTTTAAAGTTTCATAGATTATAGCTGATTCCATGACCCCAGAATTTTCTGAACCTCTCCCCTTTCTGTATGGACTCATTTGCCACTTTGGGCTCATTGTACAACACTCGATTCTGGATCCAAGCAAAATGAGGAAGGCAAATGGCTTGAATACTCTATATTGATTGCATAGCAGCTTCTAGTTCCTGACACTGTATAGGGATTTTAATGAGCTGTTATCTCCTTTTTTATATATACATGAGGAAATAGGTTCAAGGAGATTAGAAATAACCTGCCCAAGGTTACATAGCAGTAAAGTTTCAGAGTTTAAACTCACCTTATTATGGTCTGTGAGTTTGAGCAAATTATAACTGAAGCTGCCCGTTTGTAAATTAGACATTCTATTTCTTATGTATCTATTTAATTGCAAACAAAAATATATTGAATAGTAAATTTAATTTGGAAGAATGTCAAGAAAAAAATTAAGCAGGAAGGCTGAAGTCCTACCATTTTATAATCTAAAGGCATCATTTATTTGTGTCCCTGAAAATCTTGAGTCTGCTATTTTCATTAAAGCCACTTTAAGACAGTTTTGAAGTTTTTTGTTTTTTTTTGTGGGATTTTTTTTTTTTTGTCTATGTGAGGCAAGTGGATTGGAGGCGCCAGCTTTAATAGTCTTCATGTGAACCATAGAATCAACAATGCATTATTGCTTTAGCTAGTCTATTTTTAAATATTCAATGAAAATTCAAGAGAAAAATAGTCTTTTCCCCCTCAATGTGTTATAGACCAGTGATTAATAACCTATAGCAACCATTCTGTCTAGGCCCCCTACTCTTCTTACACTGCCCTATCTTCCTATACAAGCTTATCTGCCTCCACGGCTTCAAATACTATCTAAAGGCTGATAATTCTGAAACCTCTATCTTTAGCCCAGGCCCAGTTACAGAACAGTGTATCAGCCTGTGTTTGCTAGACATCTTTACTTGGAGGACCCAAAGACACTTCAGTTTCTCATCGCCTCAGACTGAATCCAGCTTCTCTCTCAAACCCATTCCCTCTGTTTTCTTTAGCTCAGTAAAGGGACCACCATCACCCATTGGCTCATAATAGAAATTTGTGTCTGATCTCCTTGATTTCTTCCTCTCTTGTCCAGGCTATCACTAAATCTTCCTAAATATTTCTTGAATCTGTCCACTGCTCTCTTCCCATTGCTACTGTTTTGGCCTCTGTCATCTCCCCCTTGGATTATGGCTACAGTCTTATAACTGCACTTTAAGCTTCTAGTCTTGTGATGTCCATTCTCTACACAACAACCAGAGTGTTCTTTCTGACATTCAAGTGTGTTCATGTACTTCCTCGTCTTAAAATCTATCCAGTGCCCAGCGGGTGTGATTCAGTGATTGAGCATTGATCCATGAACCAGGAAGTCACTGTTCGATTCCCTGCCAGGGCTAGATCCCCACTGGAGGACATGCAGGAGGCAGCCAATCAACAATTCTCTCTCATCATTGATGTTTCTATCTCTCCCTTTCCCTTCCTCTCAGAGATCAATAAAAATATATTTAAAAAACAAATTCATCCAGTAGTTTTCCCATTACCCTCTGAGTGAATATATATTTGTTGATATGACTTAGAACCTTGCTGCTAAAACTGTGATCAATAGCAGCATTGATATCACCTGGGCACTTAATGGAAATGCAGAATCTCAGGACCCATGCTAGACCTACTAGATCAGAGTATATTTTTTAAGAAAATTCCCAGGCACTTCAATGCACATTAGAGTTTGAGAAGCACACATTTAGGAGTCCATTCTCTGACCCCTCCTCCTATTCCTACAACTCTAGCCTTTTATCTCAAAGTTTCTTCCTTCAAGCTCTTATTGTATCCAACTACATGGGCCTCTTGAGAACACCGTGCTCCCTATCTTTGAGCCTCCGCCAGTGCTCTTTTCTCTGCCTAGATTGTTCTTCTCAACCCCTAGCTCTCTACATGTTACTAGCTTTTACTAATCTTTCAAGTCTTCATTTAGTTATCTCTTCCTTTCTTTGTGAAACCTTTCTGAATCCTTACTAAGTGTAGGGAGCTGCCCCTTGTATGTGCTCCCCTGAAACCTGCACTTAGGTCTGCCATAACATGTACCATTCCATATTTCAAACGCCTTTTACAGAAGAAATTCTGCACTAGGGTTTGTACTCTTTAAGGGTAGGGACTCTGTTCAGTTCTCTATTAATACCTACATTGGTGGATAAATGAGTATAGTGTGTGTGTCTTCCAAAATTTATTCCACGTTTCCTTTCTTTCTTCCACACCAGAGGAATGGACGTCAGCATTCTAATACCACTTTCGAAGGGTTCTCAACACCTAGTTTGAACACAGAGGAAAAAGATTGAATTTACCAGATGTGATTGCTTACTACAGTTAGGCATCAGTGTCAGTGATCAGTCAGGACTATCCCCTCTAGCCCCCTTAGCTACCCTAAAGGATACAGATTGTAGTAAGACACATAACATAAGCTCTCACCTTCTTCCCCATATAATTCTTCCCACACTGAACCCAGTATATAGGCATGACTGCTTATCGGTTCAAGGGGTTAATCCAGGATAGGACAGGCCGTTAGAATAAAATTGTGCACATTTTCTGTGAGTGGCTCCCCTAAAGGAAACTTTTTGTTACAGAAGAATTTCTGTGAATAGGGGAAGAGTAAAATACGAAGTTGCATTTCTTCAAAAGGTGTAATATGGGCTACTTTATTACCACTTTATGTAATAAATATATAATGGAGACATAATATGGATTTTTTATACAGGTATGCATAGAATTAAATACATAGAACTTCTGCCCTAGCTGGTTTTTCTCAGTGGGTAGAGTGTCGGTATACGGACTGAAGGGTCCCGGGTTTGAATCTGGTCATGGGCACATGCCCGGGGTGCGGCCTTGATCCCCAGTAGGGGGCTTGCAGGAGGCAGCCGATCAATGATTTTCTCTCTCACCATTGATGCTTCTATCTCTCCCTCTCCCTTCCTCTCTAAAATCAATATGGATATATATATATATACACACACACACAGAGAACTGGGTTTTTTAAATGTATTTCATGTGGTGAATATTTTATGATAGCATATTTATTAGTATATGTTTTCATAACTATGTAAAGCCTGACTTTATTTTGCATTATGAAATCATCTATGCAGACCTCACATTTTCACAGCATATACTTTTGTTGTTGTTGTTAACCTTAATTCAGGTGAAGGTACAAGTAAGAAGCTGGCGAAACATAGAGCTGCAGAGGCTGCCATAAACATTTTGAAAGCCAATGCAAGTATTTGGTGAGCTAAATTTCTTTGTATTCTGCAGCTCAAAAATATGGCTGAGGAGGTAAGATTAAAAGTTTGAACATGCTTGGAAAAGCAACAGAGTGAACAGTGTTTAGTATCTAGCTCTATAATATTATTTCCTTGTGAAAATCCATCATCCTTTAAATACAATTTATCCTTAAGGAATTAAATCCAGCAATTAACAATTAAATGAAGGCCCTCTTGAACTAGGCTTCTTTTTGTTTGTTTTCCGGATGGGGTGCAACAGTGGAAAACCAGAGGTTTTCTGACCAGTGTCTTACTGTATTAAGACTAATTATTTCTATACTGAGGAAAGCAAGGTGTGAGGTGGGAAAAGATCAACTAAAAGCACTCAGGAATTCTATTTGGAAGGAGACAAAAAGATTTCCTTTTGTTATAGAATGTATGCCGAATACAAAAGGATATTAAATGGGATATTAATTCTTGACATATCTTTCCAAAATAAATTTTTTATCACATTAGGTACTTTTGGAAAGAGTGTTGGTCCTGGAGATCTCATGTATCTTAAAGTGGTGTCCTTGGTTTCTAATGGGCACAGCCTGGAATATGGTGTGCCTTCAGTGGCTTTTCTTTGCATGCACTCAAATATATTTGGAGAACAGTTTGCATATCTGTTCATAGCTGATAGCATAGGCCCATGGGGTTTTTGCTTCCCAGCCATAGCAAAACTGTTGACTTAGGGATGTATCTGGGCTCTCATGCAATGCTGCTCCCTTTTTCTAAATTATTCTAACCATTCAGATAGTTTAGCCAGTGTAAGCCTTGGATTTTATAAAATGATGCTTGATTCTATAATTGATTTATGCTACCTTTTTAGACATGCCAAATGAAATGGCAGGTACTGGATCTCCCCCTTGCTTGAGATGGCCATGCTGTTTCTCTGCAGCCCAAGATCAGCCCAAAGTGTTAAGTGTATTTGTGGAAATGAGTGTACGCTGTGTCCTTCCTGCACATGAGCACTTCACTCTATCAGCAGAAAAGGCTCATGCACTTTACAGGATGGGGCAAAAGTAGGCTTACAGTTGTTCTTATGGAAAATAATAAACAATACAGGAATAAACTATTATGTGTACTTACAACTGTAAACCTACTTTTGCCCCTCCCTGTATTTTTGTGCTTCTTGGCAGATAAAATGGGAATTACTAAGCTATAATGAGACCTAAAGTGGCCTGATTTAATAGAGACTTTCTCACTTCTTCATCACAATTATTTGGGTAGCTTAGACATGCAGCATTGTAAGTGAATATTCATATCTCATCAGCCTCTGTAAAGCTTGAAATTCTGGTAGAAAAGAAACTTGAAGAAGTGGCAGTAACTAAGTCTCATTTGTCAGGGAAGAAATGACTTTCAGTTGCCTCAATGGTAGTACCTGGGAATGTAGCTTATTCACTGTCAGGCACCATCACCCAAGTAGTTAGTATTTCAAATTACTTAGAAGAGATTGTTTTCTTTTTTCCTAATAACCATCGTCAGATGCTGAAACCAGATTCATGCAGGCCATCTAGGATGCATGTAAATCTTAGGGTTATCCTAGCATAGAGCAGATGATATATCAAACAGATTTTTCTCCCATAATTATCTGAATGAAAAAACTGCATTTATGATTTACATTATTCACAGGCTAAATTTCCTGACTAATTATTAGTCTTCCCTTTTTGTGTAGTTGTAACAATAGTATGCTTTACTTAAATACATGTTATTGAGCACCAGTTATTTGCAAAGTACTACAAGGCTTATGAAGGTAAGTAATAGATGGGCCCTACCATCAAGGAGTTTACAGTCTGAACAGGGGCGAGAGGTGGTGAGGGATGGACAAATTACATGTATTTGTAAGAGTGTATAACTTATGCTAAAATAGTTTACTTAAGAAAGTGTCAGACCAAATGTTATAATGGCTCAAAGGAGTAAGAAAATATGTTCCATTGGGGTAAAAGGGTAGGCTTTTTACAGGACGTGGCATTTGAGATATACCTTGGGTGATGGGTAGATCAGATTCTCGTGAAAGAGGTGGGAGATAAGGGCATTCTGTGTAGAAGGAACAGCAAAAGCAAAGGCATAGAGGGTTAAGGAGAAAATACTTGTCATGTATTTGGTAACTTGGGGGAGATCATTTGGGTTTATAACTTTAAAAAAATGTTTAGCTTTGCAGTTCCTGACCCCTTAATGCCTGACCCTTCCAAGCAACCAAAGAACCAGCTTAATCCTATTGGCTCATTACAGGTAAGTTGCACAGTTTTTCCATATTTAACATTTTGTCTACTGAAGAAAGGTGTCATAATTGATACAATTAAGGGCTAAGACAAGGAATTAATATTTTAAAGATAAGATGGTATAATATTTTGTTTTCCAAGTTATGGTCATTAGATATTACAGTGCTAACTTGAAATTATTTTCCTATTTATTTTTTGGATTTTCCTCCATATACAGTATCTGGCTTTGGCTTGTGGAATTCTCATTTGAGATCAACAGAACCTCTGCATATGTTTTATACTTTAAGAATGTTTCTTGCCACTTTTTTGACAAACCTCTTTCTACTTTTGTTGAGACAAAAGACTAAATTTAAAGAACTCAAATCAGGTAGCCTAATTCAAGAATAGGGAAGAAGTCTTCATTTGCTTATTCTACCAAATATATATATTCAGCTCTGAATTTCTGCATACAGAATAGCCTTCTTGCAGATGATCTGTGTGCTCTCTTGGACAACACCCCTCCCCATTATCCAACCGGTCCTTTGGTCTCTTTCCTGCTCCATGAGTTATTCTGTAGTTTTCTCCCTCTTTTCCAAACCTGTTTGCTCTCTCTGCTCCTCTTTTGCTCTTGATCAGTTACAGTGATTAGCCAGCTGTGGGTAGAGGGGTCTATAGCTCAGAGGGGAAAGGCTTTGGGAACTGTTGGCAGCGAAACCTATGGATATCCTCTGAGGTTTTTACTCAGTTTGTCTTCCTACTTGAACTCTTTGATATCAGCTCACTGTGGCTTAATGGAAGAATCTATACTAATAAAAGGGTAATATGCTAATTAGAACAGGTCGATTGGACATCTTCCAGATGTCCGACTTCCTTCCAGACAAAGCCACGGTGGTGGGGGCCAAGGCAGAGGCTGTTTGGGGCGATCAGGCCAGCAGGGGAGCAAGCAGTTAGGGGCAATCAGGCCGGCGGGGGAGCAAGCAGTTAAGGGTGAGATCAGGCCAGTGCAGGGGAGCAAGCAATTAGGGGCGAGATCAGGCTGGCAGGGGAGCCGTTAGATGGCAATCAGGCCGGCAGGGGAGTGGTTAGGGGGAGATCAGGCTGGCAGGCAGAGGCGGTTAGGGTCGATCAGGCAGGCAGATAGAGACAGTTAGGGGTGATCAGGCCAGCAGGCAGAGGCAGTTAGGGTCAATTAGGCAGGCAGGCAGAGGCAGTTAGAGGTGATCAGGCCGGCGAGCAGTTAGGAGCCAGCGGTCCCGGATTATGAGAGGGATGTCCAACTGCCGGGATCGGGCCTAAACCGGCAGTCGGACATCCCCGGAGGGGTCCCAGATTGGAGAGGGTGCAGGCTGGGCTGAGGGACACACCCCTTCCGTGCATGAATTTCCTGTACCGGGCCTCTAGTGCCATTCATAAGCAGGAAACTGCTTCAGTTTTCCCAGATTGGAGAGGGTGCAGGCCGGGCTGAGGGGCACACCACTTCCGTGCACGAATTTCCTGTACCGGGCTTCTAGTGCCATTCATAAGCAGGAAACTGCTTTAGGAAACTTTGAGAGCTTAAATAACATTTTCTAATGTCCCTTAAATAGTAAATGGCAAAAACTAGACTAAACCCCTAGCCTGAATGCCTCCAAAGTACATGTTCTTAACCCATTATAATAAGGCAGAGTCCCTGCTGCCACTTACCAGCACTCTTTTTCCACTGAATTACCTAAAAATACTTCGTCTTGCTCCCCAGCTTTCTAACTCAAGCTTTGGGGCAACAAAAATTAATGAGTATCCATCCACTTTCTGGGCTGGGAGATAATTCCAAAGGGGAAGACCTGAACGGCCAGAAGGAAGAAAACGGGGCAGTGAAACCACATGTCTCAGCTCCTCCTCTTCGATATTTCCATTTGAAACTTAAAGAATGTGATTCTAATCAAGGACAAGTTAATCTGCACTTGCACATTTTTTTACATCTTTACAAATTGGGAAATTTTAACATTAAAAAAATCACTAACTTTCTCAAATCAAAGATTTCAAGAAATTAATGATTCCTAAGGTTCTTTGAATTTGCCTTCAATCCTGGGTCAAATAACTCCCACACAGACTTTGCTGCTTAAAACTCTTAGCTTATTCTGTAGGCTTGTTGTGAACTGTAAACATTTCCACATGGCTCATTATGTCTCAGTTATATCTTTGTCATATGCACTGTAATTTAAAAATCATATAGTTGCCCTTATTTTTAAATATTCTGATTGAAAGGTTTCACTAAGCCAGACTGCCCTTCCTCCTACTCATTCCCATCTCCATCTCATTATTCCAAATTAGAGGTTTGACTATATGTTACAAACACAAACCTGCAAACGGTTAACTCCTGTGGACCAATAGAATTCAGATTCAAAGCCTCAGAAGCAGCTACAAGAAGGCCATTTGAGAGACAAATTATACTTGAAGTACAGCAACTCTAAGCCTGGGTTAGCTAAAGCTCAGAGGAAGCCTGGCCCAGTGGGACCTGAGAAATAAAATGAGACCATCTTTAAAAAAAAAAAAAAAAAAGAGGGAGTGTGAGCCAGTGCAGAAAGCACTGAGCAAGAAGCAGGTACCTCAACTTCTGTTCTTGATGCAATCTTTGGTTTGCAGGATAGGCAACTAAATCTCTCTGGGCCTTAGTTTTTAAATCTAACAGAAGTATGGAAGGAGATGAAATATATGGTCTCTTTCAACTTCAGTATTCCCTTTCTTATTCATGATAGAGAAATTCCACATAATTCTCAGTTTATAGAAAATTGTAAGCAGGAAGTAAACAATGGTAATTCAAATATACCTTGATAAATTTGAATATTTGATCAGAATTCATTAAAACTAGACATAGGGAAATATAGCTGTTAATGAAAAACAGAAAGTATAACTACTAAAGATAAACTGTTAAAAGAAATGCCTTCAAAAATGTAAGAATTAATAGCTATATGAATCACAACAAGCAAAGATGTCAGGTCAGTAAAAAATAGACTAGTATATAAAAACCATGAGGTTGTTCTCTGATTAAATGCAATATACGTTTGATCATTCTCTGTGGACACATTTCTTTTCTAAACCTTCCATTTCTTTTTAATTATTTAGGAAAAGGGGCATCAAAAAAACAAGCCAAGAGAAATGCTGCTGAGAAATTTCTTGCCAAATTCAGTAACATTTCTCCAGAGAACCACATTTCTTTAGTGAGTAATGATCATACAGCTATGATATTAATGTGATTAAGCATCTCTTTTTTTAAATCTATTGTTGACAGTATTACAGATATTTCCCATTTTCCCCTCTTTTGCCCCCCCTCCCCCATCTCTTGCTGTAGGAAACTTGCCTAGATTTCTTGTTGTGTTGATACTTCATAGTTGCAGTTTTTAAAAATCTCTTCATTGTTTAGTTACATACTACCCCAATTTAATCTGCTTGCTATATGTGAGCCAGGGTCATAGGTCAGAGGGCTTGGGAGACATAGACAAATTGAGAATACTATGAGGATCTAAAGATAATAGGCCCATAGTGCTATTTTTGCCTTCACATTAACAGTGCATTCCCATCCCTTTTCTTATTCATTCATTTATCCACTCAGGAAACATTTAGTGAGTTCATACTCCGTGCCAAGCTTTGTGCTGGGTGCTGGCATACAGTGATAAGACAGTCTCTGCTCCTAAGGCGTTTATAGCAGACTGAAAGGGAGAAGAACCCTACGGACTAGACTGGCCCTTACAGAGGCTGCGGTAGGAACATGGGAGAAGCCATCCAGCTCAGACTGGGGGTTTAGGGAATGCTCCTTGGAGGAAGTAATATCTACATTGAGACTTGTAGGGTGGGAGTAGGGGAAAAGAACTCCAGAGAGAAGAAAGCAGGAGTGAAACATCATATGCAGTGTAGGAACCCTAAGTAATTTCGTATGGCTAGAGCAGAGAGTTGGAGGGAGTCTCAGATGGTGAGGCCATTAAGGAGATTGAACTTTATCCTGAGGGGAGAACAAAGTCATTAAAAAATTTTAATCTGGATTCACAGGCTCTAAGTTATCCAGTAGAAGAAAAACCACTTGGCTGTGTTATGAAGAGTTAATGAATATTAGAGACCTGTTAGAATGCTGTTATAGAAATCAGATGACAAATGTTGGTGGCCTAAATTAAGGGAGTGGCAGTAGAAATGGTAGATTTAAAAATTATTTAGAAAATAAAGTGAAGGGGGCATGGTCATTGATTAGATATGGGAAGTAAGGAAAAGGGAGGAAGTAAACATTTTTAGTTTGGCAGCTGAGTAGATAGTGGTACCATTCATTCATATGGGGACCACAGAAAAGGAGTAAGATTTGAGGAGGAACAGATAATGAGCTAAATGTAGGATATATTGAGTTCTAAAGACAATCAAGTAGAAGAAATAGTTATTTTTTTAAAAAGTTCAACTTCATTCATGCAAGTTAAACAATATACTAATTTCATATTTTAGATCAACAAAACCTACAAAGTTTGATAACACCTGGTGTTGGTGAGGATATGAGAAGGCAAGCACGCTTTAAGACTTTGATGGGAGTATAAAGTGGTTCAAAATCAATTTGGAAGTATTTACCAAAATTAAAAGCATGCATGTTTTTTGACTCAGCAATTCTACTTCTAAAAATTTTTCTGCACAGAAAGTCATTTAAATGCAAAGGAGTTTTTATTGTAACATTGTTATTAAAAGCAAGAGACCAGAAACAACCTAAAACTCTTAGTTGGAGGCTGGTAATAAATATAATACATATATGTGCAAAGATGAGAAGAATGAGTAAGATGTAGAAGAGTAAGCTATCATTTTTGTTTAAAAAGATTATGTGTGTGTGTGTGTGTGTGTGTGTGTGTGTACTTGAATGTGCATAGAACATTTATGGAAGGATACTGAAGAAAAGTTTAACAGCAAGTACCTCTGGGGAGTGGAACAGAAATCTTTGGGGAAGGGGAGGTAAGGAAAAAAGACCACTATTCATCAGATGTTTGTTTTAATTGCAGGTTTTTTTAAACATGTGAATTAATTATGATTAAAAAAACAATTTTGTTTAAAGTTTCAATCAAGAAATGTAAAATTCTATTTAGTAAATTGTACAAATTACTCAATTCTATATCAGGGCCATTCCTATGATCTTTTGAAAATTTCTTAACCTCTGTCTGGGCTCATTAATAAAGAAGACTAAGGATAGGTTGCCCTACTTAGTTCAAAGAGTAGTTGTAGTGGGTTTTTTAAATGACATAATAAAGAAAAATAATTTGAGAAACATAAACTAACATGGAATGTAAAACATTCTGAACACAGGTGAAAAAGGAAGGATTTAGGGGAGAAAAAAGGAAAAAGAGAAAGAAAACAAAAACATAAGCTCAGTTGGGTTCTGCGATATAAGTCTGAGAACTCTTTGACGTCCTGCTATTCATTTAAATAACTTGTTCTTCTCACACCCAACATACTTTTCATCTTTTCTACAGTTTGTTTTCTGCTTTACTGCTTTTGGTTACAGTGATTTGTATTTAATACAAGAAATCATAAAGATATGAAAATTGCTTTATATTTTAATTTGTAGATTGCTCTGCTAGTCAGATGCAATTATTTGCAAATTTGTTTATAGTACTCTTAAATATCTTATGTCTTAATTTGACTATCAGAAAATTTGACTGAGAGACATTTGTGCTATACAAAAGTATTTTTAAATACTTCCAGTATTTAAAAAAATGAAAAAAGAAAAATTAATACTTACATTATATTATTGCACATGCTTCTTTTTTTAACATCATGCTATTTGTTAAATGTGTGTACTTGTTAGTGTTGTCTTGTTTAAATTAGAAAGTTAACCAAATTGTGTCCATTTAAACATGCTTTATAAACTATTAAGTGTGAGTGCCTTCTAAATTAATTAAAGTTGGAAACCCGTCCCAGTTCTGAGTCTTAACCTTCATCTCTTTTTCAGACAAACGTAGTAGGACATTCCTTAGGATGCACTTGGCATTCCTTGAGGAATTCTCCTGGTGAAAAGATCAACCTACTGAAAAGAAGCCTCCTCAGTATTCCCAATACGAATTACATCCAGCTGCTCAGTGAAATCGCCAAGGAACAGGGTTTTAATATAACATATTTGGATATAGGTATGAGGGGTTTTTTTTTGCTTATCCCAAAACATATTTCTTTTAAAAATACGTTTGAGAAACAAAAACTTCTATTATAATTAATTTCATTGATTAGGGATTCTAACTCTATATATTACCACAGCAGTAAAATATATAAATGATATGTTCCATTCTCATAAATAATATTCAAAATAGCCAACATCTCTACAGTTATAATAATAAAAACAATAATAGCTAAGATTTATAACTAATTGAATCCTCAAACTAACCCTCTGAAGTAGGTTCTGTATGCATATGAAGAAACTAGGCACAGAAAAGTTGAGAAACTTGTCCAAGATCACATAGCTAGTCAGTGGTAGAGCCAGGTTAGGGGAAGAGTAACTATAGATACATGATACACTGTCCATTTATCTCGCCCTGATGGGAAGATTGACAGATAAAAAGACACCACATTTCTAGAACAAGGAGTGAGTTTGTGGGTTCTGTAATGACCAATGAATGCGTCTCACATTGATGTTTCTGTTTCTCTTTCTCTCCCTTCCTCCCTCTCTAAAATAAAAAAATGTTTTAAAAAGAATAACAAAGATGATAAGTGGAGTAGTCTACCGTGGATGCTTCTAGAGAAAAACAATGATAAAAACTATTGCTTAGACAAAGGATCTACTTTATATACACTTAGTAACCATCACGTTTGAGTATGTCATTACAGAACTCACAAACTCACTCCTTGTTCTATAAATGTGGTGTCTTTACAGAACCCACACCAGACCTCTCTCCCCACTTCATCACTGTGTGCCAATCCTGGTAGGCACATGGGGCAGGTCAATTTACAGCTTTCTCCCATTCCAGCTGTCATTTTCTCTAGCCCTTAATCATTTAGGTAGACAAATGCAGAATGACTGGAGAGGAAGTCAGTTTGGATTTTCTTTTAAGTCAGTTTATAAAGCTGGCTACTGTGTACATGCGTTTATCGTCTTGATTTTACATCAGTATAATATGTGAAGAACTTGATACCTTTATTCCAGTTTCAGAGGTCCTAGCACTGGAAAGTAGGGTGTTTAGAGATTGAAAGAACTTCTGATTTTCTCTGTTGCTTTAGGATCAAATGTGCTGGGAATTTAGTATGGACAGATGGTCAGAAAAGGCGGCTGATGGGGCAGGCAAGTTGGAAGCAGCTGCTTAATGGGTGTGGTGTTTCCTCGTGGTATGATGAAATGACAAAAATGTTTTATGACTAGATAGAGGTGGTGGTTGCACAACATTGCGAATGTACTAAATGCCACTCAATAGTTCACTTTAGAAATGATTAATTTTATGTTGTGTGAATTTTACCTCACTTAAAAAAATAAAAGAACCTAGATGCTAGAACTAGAAAGTCTCTTCAGGCATTAAATAATCCCATTGTATCTGGATACTTCCCTCTATGTTGACTAACTGAAATAACATTTAATCATGACCTCTTTTTTTTTAATATATTTTATTGATTTTTTTACAGAGAGGAAGGGAGAGGGATAGAGACTCAGAAACATCGATGAGAGAGAAACATCGATCAGCTGCCTCCTGCACACTCCCCACTGGGGATGTGCCCGCAACCAAGGTACATGCCCTTGACCGGAATCGAACCTGGGGCCCTTCAGTCTGCAGGCCGATGCTCTATCCACTGAGCCAAACCAGTCAGGGCAATCATGACCTCTTTAAACAAATTATGACTCATGTGTTCTACTTCTTCCCTGATCTTACTTGTTATCTTCAGTAAGAGTGATTCATCATTGATGAGAAGAGCATTTGTTTCCTGGGTTAGGTATTATTTTAAAACACCCTAACCCTTAGACTCTTTGCACAGATTTATAACCAAAGAACATTAAGGCACAAAGGAGGTCTTGCCCTGAACCATGTGTGTCCTAGTTCAGTGTCCACTGAAAATACCCCTAGACTTCATAATGAAAAATGCAACTTCAGGTTTCTAGCCAATCTTTTTTTTCCCTTTTGAAAAAGTTGCTGTGGTTTAATAATTTGTAAACACTGTTCAAATAGCCACATTAGAATTGTCTTGGGAGCTTTTTTGTTTGTTTGTTTTTTAAATGCAAGAATCTGGCATTTTTTAACCCTAACCCTGCATATCTGATTGAGCAGGCTGGAGCAAGGCCTGGACACCTGCATCGCTAAGTTCCCTCTGATGATTATAAAGCACATCTGTGTTTGAGAATTGCTGTAGCTGAGCAGTTGTGTTTTGTTTTTTGTTTGTACAAGAATAACAAAGATGCCCTGGCCCATGTGGCTCAGTTGGTTGGAGCATCATCCCATGGACGGGAAGGTCTCAGGTTTGATTCTCGGTCAGGGCACATACCTAGGTTTCAGGTTCAGTCCCCAGTTGGGGCACATGCGGGAGGCAACCAGTGGACGTGTCTCACATCGATGTTTCTGCTTCTCTTCCTCTCCCTTCCTCCCTCTCTAAAATAAAAATTTTTAAGAAAGAATAACAAAGATGATAAGTGGAGTAGTCTACCATGGATGCTTAGAGAAAAACAATGATAACAATTATTGCTTAGACAAAGGATCTACTTTGTATGCACTTATTAACTATCACGTTTGAATATGTCATTACAGAAGAACTGAGTGCCAACGGACAGTATCAGTGCCTCGCGGAACTGTCCACCAGTCCTATCACAGTCTGCCACGGCTCTGGGATCTCCTGCAGCAATGCACAGAGTGATGCTGCCCACAATGCTTTGCAGTACTTAAAGATAATAGCAGAAAGAAAGTAAACGTGAAACAACCTAGGAAACCCTGCGGCAGCACATAACACGTCCCTCTCTCACCCCTTCCCAAGTAACACATTTACTGTAATGTTTGAGTTTGTGTGTTGTTTCTAAATCTCTTTCATAGATTCCATCAACACTACAGATTTCATTATCTCCTAGTTGTTATTAACTCTTTTTAATGGCTTCAACTTTGTATTGGTATACTGTATTTATAAACTTTGTACCACAGGCAGAGTGTAGCACCCATTTGGCAATGCCATGTACATAGGAGGAAGAAACTGCATGTGTATTGATGATGATGAAGATGATGAAATAAAACTGCTAACAACAGTCTTTCTTACTGGTGCTTAACCTCACTTTGTGCAAGGCTTTCAAAGGGAATTCGCAGGTGGCCCCTTAGACTTAGAGGGTTGAGGATGCACTAACAGGCTTTATTGAATGTGACTGTTAAATGTCAGGGGACACGATGGTCCGCTGTGTATTGGGATCCAGGTGATAAAGAGCCGTTGTATTAGTGGGTTCTACTCATTTTATGAAAGTGTTACTGACTTGACTGTGGCTCCCTTCTCAGCCATTCTTGTAAGTAACATTGTAATGTGGCTGTTCTATTATTTTCTTATTTATGGTTTACTTCTGAGAGTCAAAGGTTAAAAAAACGTATGGCCTAAGCAAAAATTTATAAATTGATACATGATGACTCACTTCCATATTTTCTCAACTCATATACAACGTTGTCTTTTTCTTTAACATAACGATTCATCAATGAATGCTGTAGTTGAAAAAGCATTAGTAGTACCAAAACAAAACTTCCTCGTGTACTCAATTCAGTTACAAGAAACGGTTTCAAACAGGGCAGTGAGTGATTAAAAGGTGGGGAAATAAGTGTCATGCACAGATTTTAACCTCGCCTTTTATGTTTCCGTATACCATCCTGTGACACCAAGTCTGCCCTGTCAGCTCTGGCCGAGACTGTGCTTTGTAGACCATTGGATGTCTCTGGCCTGTTCAGAGCCCAGGGAAAGCTCTGAGTGAGGCAGGATAGTGAGCTGGGAAAATTCCTGGGCGAGTGGAATGGGGAAACTGAGGCAATATAAACAAGGGCAAACAATTTGACCAATTTAGAGCCAGCTAGTGAATTGCAAGACCTTATCTTTCCCAACCAAGGACACTTGAGAACAAATGGTTTATACCTCTCCTCCGCTGACCAGAGAGTAAATACCTCAAATCACCCCGGTTAGGGAGAAAGAGGACAGAGACTCAACACATTAAGTGCCCTGTCAGTCACAGGTGACTGACACTATACTTTCCGTCCAGAAGACAAAACAGGCTGGGCGCTTAACGTGTTAATGCCTTTAGTGCCAGCCAAACCCAAGGACGGATGAAGTCGGGAACAAATAAAAAGCCCATTAGAGCCAGACAGGCCCAAGATAAAAGTAAGACACTAACCTGGCCGGTGTGGCGTAGTGGTTGAGTGTCACCCCATGAACCAGGAGATCTTGTTTCTATTCTCAGTCAGGGCACATGCCTGGGTTGCGGGCTCTATTACCAGTAAGGGGTGTGCAGGAGGCAGCCGGTTGATGATTCTCATCATTGATAATTCTATCCTTCTTCCTCTCTGAAATCAATAAAAATATATTTTTTAAAAAGTAAAACACTAAGCCCTAGCTGGTATTGCTCAGTGGATAAAGCATCAGCCTGCAAACCAAAGGGTGCCAAGTTCAGTTCCAGTCAAGGGCACATATCTTGGTTGCAGGCTCAATCCCAAGCCCTGGTTGGGGCTCATGCAGGAGACAACCAATTGATGTGTTTCTCTCACATCGATGTTTCTCTCTGTCTTTCCCTTTCTCTCCCACTCTCCCTAAGAATCAATGGAGCCGAAACCAGTTTGGCTCAGTGGATGGAGCATCGGCCTGCGGACTGAAAGGTCCCAGGTTCGATTCCGGTCAAGGGCATGTACCTGGGTTGCGGGCACATCCCCCGTAGGAGATGTGCAGGAGGCAGCTGATCGATGTTTCTCTCTCATCGATGTTTCTAACTCTCTATCTCTCTCCCTTCCTCTCTGTAAAAAATCAATAAAATATATTTTAAAAAAAAAAGAATCAATGGAAAAATATCCTCAGGTGAGAATTAACAACAACAGCAAAAAGTAAAACACTAAAGCTGACTAAAGAATAATCTCAAACTCTCTCTCTCTGTCTCTCTTTCTCTCTCTAATATATATATATATATATTAGAGGCCCAGTGCACAAAAATTTGTGCACTCGGGGGCGGGGGGGTCCCTAAGCCCGGCCTGTGCCCTCTCGCAGTCTGGGACCCCTCAGGGGACGACCACCTGCTGGCTTAGGCCCGTTCCTTGGGCCTAAGCTGGCAGTCAGACATCCCTCTGGCAGCCCAGGAGCCCTCGGGGGATGTCCATTTGCCAGCGGGGAGCAGGCCTAAGCTGCAGTCAGACAGCCTTAGCGCTGCTGAGGAGGCGGGAGAGGCTCCCACCACCACCGCTGTACTGGCAGCCATCAGCCTGGCTTGTGGCTGAGCAAAGCTCCCCCTGTGGGAGCACACTGACCACCAGGGGACAGCT